GATAGATAGATAGATAGATAGATAGATAGATAGATAGATAGATAGATAGATAGATAGATAGATAGATAGATAGATAGATAGATAGATAGATAGATCAGAATCAGAAGACTTTATTTATCCCCTTTATTTATAGGGGCAATTAACAAACAACAGAGCAGCATAACGTTGAAGATAAGGACAATAAGAACAGGCAATAAGAGGGAAATAATAAATACACAGATTATACAGTATATACAGTTTTAAAATTAAAGTGACTGAAAGGTGAATAAATAACTGTAAGTGACTAAAAGTGAATAAAGTGTCGGTAGTATAAGAAGAGTGTAGTTTATGTTTCTGGTGTGGGAAATGGTCTTATCGCCTGGAGTTAAAAAGCAGAGTGGCTTTGGGGACAAAGGTGGCTCTCTTCCTCTCAGTCAAACAGGAAATGCAGCAGAGGCGTCGCCCAGAGGGGAGTGATTGAAATGTGGGGTGAAGAATGTGAGAGGGGTCGTTGATGATTTTGGCTGCCTGTCTAAGGGCCTGTTGGCTGAAAACCAGTGCCAGAGTTCTGACAGGCAGGCCAATGATTTTAGAGCACACTGATGCAGTGTGCAGTCTGTTCTTGTTCTCAGCCTTCAGAACAAGAACAGACTGCACACTGCATCAGTGTGCTCTAAAATCATTGGCCTGCCTGTCAGAACTCTGGAAAGCATCATGACCTTCTCCATCACGCTTTCCAGGAAGGCATAGTAAAAAGTCATCATGATGAGTGTGCTGACTCCAAAGGAGTTGAGTTTCCTAAGGAGGTATAGCTGTTGGTGGCACCTCCTGAGAATCTCCTCTGTGTTGGCAGAGAATTTCAGGAGGTTGTCAAAGATGGTTCCCAGGTATTTGTACTCATCAGACGGAGAAAGAAGGCTGTCTCGGTCAGTGGCTTCGAAACATCCTTGTAGGGTGAGGATACTTTCCTCTGTCCACTGCTCGATGTTTTTGGTGACCTTTTTAATCCTCTTGATGACTGGGATGTAAGCAGGGGCAGGCAGGATGGTGTGGTGGTCTGCTGAGCTGAGAGGGGAGAGGGGTAGGGCTTTAAATGCATCTGGTACAGAGCCATAGCATTTATCCAGAGTCTTCCCCTGACGTGTGCTGCATGTAACATACTGTTGGTATCCTTTGAGCGACTTGTCAGGGGAACAGTGGTTAAAATCACCCAAGATGAACTTGGGGGAGTCCGGTGATAATTGTTCCAGTTTGTACAGAGCGTTGGTGAAGTAGTCTGTGGCCTTAGCTGCATCAGCTCTGTGGTGGGTTGTACACCAAGATGATGAAAAGCTGTGGGAATTCTCTGGGGAGATAGTAGGGGTGCAGGGAAACAGCCAGAAGGTCGATGTTTGTAGTGCACAGCTTCTCCCTCACAGTGACTGTAGAACACCAGCTGTTGTTTACATACAGATACACGCCGGTGCCATGTTGCTTCCCAGTGCATTTGCGGTCTCTGTCCATATGAAGAGGTGGTGAAAAGCCATCAATGTGCAGCATGCTGTCGTCGTCGCTGTTGTTTAACCACGATTCCGTGAATGCCAGAACGGAGGCAGTTCTGTACTCATGCACGTGGTTGACCCAGGCTTGCAGCTCGTCCAGCTTGGAGCGGAGAGACCGCACATAAGCAAGGATAATGGACGGAAGCACTCGTTGTTTGTGTGTCTCCATCTTTAGTCTGGCTCTCACCCCACTCTTCTTTAATCCCCTCCCGGTTACCTTGTTATTGTGAGTTTTTTGATTTCCGTATTTCTTTGGGAAAGTAGTCCGTGGAAGCGGAGCGGAAAAGCCGGAGGCCAGGCTGCAGCTGCGGCCGCAGCTGGATGAGGGAGTCCCTGGTGTAGGTGAGCCTTGGGGTCATGTCGAGTGTCGAAAACAAGTCCAAGAAATCACAAAAATGAGTAAAAGGAAGAGAATCCAAATATACAGAATAGACGGCGAAATACAACAACGAAAAGAGCATTAAAGTTAGAAAAAGAACGCAAAACTGCTCAGCTGAATGGCCGGTCGACCGCACGAGCAGCAACCCGGGACTGGAAAAGCTAGCTACCTAGATAGGTAGGTAGATAGATAGATAGATCATATAATTTCATTGAGCTTTTGGATAGTGCCATACAAACCTGACACAGACAAAAAGGAAAAAACATGAAGACATGACTGACTGGGGAACCAGAAAGAATAACAAAACACTGGTCACAGAAACCGGCATTTACCATGGTAACACAGTAAGAAATGACTGAATGAGAAACCCTGGTTAAAATAATGTTCTTTTAAACTACTTCTGTGAGTTACCATCAGCAAACTGAAACCACATAGAAACTGGTGGAGTGCCATTTCAGAATAAGCTTGTTTAGTGCATGTTAGTTCAAATGAATTGGCATCCTCTCTGCCTTCTGTAAATGAAAAGAGCCCTCTGAATATGGCATTTCCCGTCCCTCTATGTTAAGCATGGTATTTCATAATAATTATAATTTATAATTATAATTTATTTTTATTATAATGTATAATTAAATATTTATTTTGTTACGTAATTTTGTGTTTGTATTAGTCTATTTCTTAATTTGTTACATAGAAACTGATGCAAAAAACAGATGCAATAACTGTTAAGGAACACCCACTGGCAGGTTTCTTTTACTTTTTAAATCAAAAATCCCTACCATAATGCTGAGTATTTACACATAAAGCAAAAGAACACGGGGGATGGTTTGACTGTGATTCCCAAAGAGGGGATGCTGAAATGTCCTGATTTCGGTACATATGAGTATGTGGGATGTTGATGTTGGCTGAACATATGCTAAAGCCTCAGACATGAGTCACAGCTCATGATGCCATCTTCACTTGGAGCCTGCCAGTCTGGAAAAAAGGATTTTTGTTGGTTTTCAGTGGGAATTCACACTAGTATTCTTTTCAAATGACCCAAATGATGACACGGACAGCTGTTTTACCTGAAAAGCATTGAGAAAGCATATAGGCCTGTCCTCAGTAGTCTAAATATACACAGATTTATACACACAAAACGATCCCTGTCAGATGTCACCCCTACAAGCCCCACCCTGATCGCTTCTGGTTTGCTAGCTTCCATTTACCACTGTGTTAATCTGTTCCCTTTTCACATCCCCCCTCCTCCCGATTCTCTTGCATGCTCTCTCTTTTGCTCCTCCCCTCTCTTCCCTCAAAGCCAGCAGCCTCCTGCTTGATCCTGCCTGCTTACTACATGGTCTCTTGGAATACAGCATACCTTTTCTACTCCATGGCTTTTCGACTTTTTTTTTTTCTCAATTCACACTGCAAAGCACGGACGGATGCTAGCTTAACCAACAGTGTTTAACCTTTTCTTTCCCTTCCACCTCTGTGCTCGTAACCTGTTTATCCATTTGTCTGTCTGACCTGCATTTTAACCTACCCTTTGACCCCACTGTTTCATGATTAATGCTGAGACCCCCTTGACAATGTTACTATGTATTAACTGGTTGAAGCCTTTCCTTGCCTTGTTGTTTTCCACCTTGCTTAAACAAGGCCAGAATTGTCCAACCAGCTGTTTGTGTCCAGACCACCACACTGTGAACTGCTCTGGCCAAGGCCTAACTGGAGTACCAGATTCCATTCCTCTGGACGTTCGCCGTCTCCTACTATCCAACAACTGGATTCCATGGATCCCTTCTGACTTCCTGGTCCTTTACACAGATCTGGTGTATTTGGACCTACGGAATAACTCCCTTTCCCAGCTGGAGCCAGGGACCTTGAGCACTTCTTCAAGATTAGTCTTCTTGGACTTGGGAAACAATAACCTGACTGAAATCCCCTCAGGAACATTTGGGGAATCAAGGAGTCTGATTAAACTACGACTAGGGGACAATCCCTATCTAACTATGGTAAGCAGAGATGTTTTTACAGGGTTGACGTCTTTGAGGGAATTGGAGCTGGAGAGGAATGGTCTCACAGGGCTGGATGTCAGGGTCCTGGAACTTTTGCCCTCCCTTAACATGGTGCGTTTGGAGGGCAACCCCTGGCTTTGCAACTGCCACTTTGCCAAATTGTTTGTATGGCTGACAAATAATCAGCATAAGCTCCCAACAGGTAAGATGTTAGCTAAGTGTGAATGAGCATCTGAGAAATGTAATTATTTCCATGAATTATATTTTAATGATTATAAGACACACACATACATACTACCAATTCCTACTTCCTCAAGCACCTACTGATATCCAGTACAGTAATCAATATGAGTCAGCTATTCCTACGTGGCAGCAGAAAGCGCAACAAAAACACAACTGTTACTGTTGTTGTTCTAACATCTGAAATATGAGTGAGTTTTCTGTTTTATCTTTTCTTCCTCCCTGTCACACTCTTTTTTTTTTTGAGATTTTTCAGTAATTGATAATGATGATAATAATGAATGTTGTCTTTATTTTCTCTTGCTACGTTGACATTATTATCACAACTGTAACTTCAGCTGTATTATGCACAACTTGCCAAGATCTATTTTTAATTGTTGCTTTGTTCCCTTATTTCTTTTCTTTTGAATTTAACTTAGAAAAGTGCTAGCTTTTTGCTTTAGTGATTTGACATTCTTTGTATTCCAAATTTGCCCTGTGTCCCCAGCAGGGTGCCCCTCTTAATTTGCTAGAAACAAGTGGCGGAGGTCCTGTCTCCTCTTATCTTGACCCTTGAAACCTCTGCCCTGAACTACTGTCTGTGCACTTCTTGCTTCTTTTGATGCACTAGGCTAGAAAATCACTAGGTTTTACTAGTGTGTAAAGGGAAAGAACCTAAAACATGAGTTTACATGTTAGGTCATCATGTCTTCTCTTGATGCATCACACTAGTCCAGTACTTTCACATTAACATACCATCATGTGAAAATAAAACACACCCTTGCTACTTACATCAGAATTAAAACATTAGAAGCAGCCAGATTCTATGCCCCTCTATGAAAAGCTGAAGTTTTGGGATTTTGTTGGTCTGGTGTTAACACAATATCACATTCATCACAGGAGTTGCACCTGAATAAACCACAAGACTTCTAAAACACTAAATCTATCTTGGACAGATGAGACCAAAGTAAAAACATTTGGCCAAATGATGACTGATTGCCAAATGAGGACAAAATTAAACACGCATATCAGCACAGATATCATGTGTTGTGGAATGAGAACCCAAGTGCAGACACTGAGGCACGGTACTTATTGAAAGGGTTTTTTAAGGTGTAATAGAAGTCCACAGAAAGGCAGGATAAAGTGAAGTATATAAATATAAATGGAAGACAAGCTGGAGATGATAACAGGAACTCAGTGGAAGGATAACAGCTGTCACATCAAAGAGAATAAATTGATTAGAGGCATTAGGAAAAATTGGGCGAAGAAACAGCTGCAGTGAAGCAAAGAAAACAAGATAGATGAACAAAAACTATCAAAGCAGAAGCGACAAACAACCACCAAAATAAAACAGGAAGTAACTTAACAAACGTAGGACTTAACAAACATCAAAAACAAAAGGAACCCAAGGTTATCTGTAACTGAGAACTGAGGGCATGAAACACAAAAAACAATAAGGAGTCTATAAAAAGCACTAGAAGATAGAACTCATAAGCACAAGAAAAAGAATAAAGCAAGAAAATAAACCCAGATAGCATCATATTCTGGGATGGATCTGCCCTCAGGTCAGCAGATCCGCCCCACTTTCTGGCATCTGGACAGGATCCAGTCCACCTACGGAGAGGGTACACCTCCGTGTCTGCTATTCTCTTTTTTTCTTTTTTCCATAAGCAGTGGATTGGGCAGCAGCACTTCTCTAAAGAGGTAAGTACTGTACACTTTTGTGTCAAATATACTTCATTCATGAAGTTACCATTTCAGTGAACATATATTAAGAGGTTAAACGTTTAAAAAGCCCCTGAGTGGTTTATTTTGGTGTGGCAGTTGCGGTGATAAAGTTATCTGTCCCGCTAGCTGTTACTCCAGGGCTGAACACGTGAAGGAATTTCCCCCCCGATTCCAGTAGAAACTGCCAGTAAAGTTAAGCTAACTCTGCCTTTTCTGTTCTCCACATCTGAGCACATCCATTACATTAAAGTGAGTATCATAAGTTGAATTGTTATCTCAGAGTTTGAGCCACCATTTTGGGCGACAGTTGATAATTTGTTGGCCATAAAATTATCCTGATTGAGCTGTTAACAGTTCCTTTTCAAACATAGCCATGCATTTACAGGAAGCTTCTACCATTCTTAAGAAAAGGTCAAAATACTCCAGAAAATTCTGAATTGGCCCTTTTTCCTCTCTGATTTATCAGCACATTAAAGGGCAACAATAAGAAATTTGTAACAGCAGCGTCATCCTCTGAATGTTTCATCACACTGTGAGATATGTTCTTATCTTTCAAGACCAATTTGATGGAGTTATGATCATGACACTGCGTTATTTATTTATTTTGTCTTTAATTCACCAACTCATATTTACCGCAACTGGAGTTCATGCATGATCCAGTTTTTGGTTTCTTTTTATTGAATGCCCCTCTCGGTCCCTACACATATCTCCTGTTAAATAATATGAAAAACAGTTAACTAATCAGGGACGATCTTGATCTTGATCTGAAAATAAGCCCTAGACCATATAAATGTCACCACTTTCTTTCAGACTAAGAATAATACAGAATAATATATTTATTAATGATATTATACATCTGTGCTGATCTGTGTTGATCTTATTCAGGGCCTGTTTCATCTTTGCACACTGCCTCGGGAAAATAAGGTAAATACAGTTTAAACTTTGCATCAGTCACGTGTGTTTTTTTAATGTTTTGTGAACATCTGGAATCACTGGAATCCACTACAACAGCACCAGTCTCAGTTATTCAGACTCAGTGCTACGGTTTAGCACTGAGTCTGTTTTTGCATCGGTAAAATATAAATTATGAGCTAACTATGAAGTGTTAACACTCTGTGTTAAAGTCATGTGCACATGCAGAGTCAGAAGGAAAAAGGATGATGAAAATCTATAATAATCTTCTTACGGTTAGAGCAATGAATCTGAGTTACCTCACATGTGTATTTTCCTGTTGTGGGAGTTAATTAAACCCCCACCAAAAAAAAAATCTGGGTACAGCTATTTTTAAATTACAGTTTTCTTTTGATTGGAGGCTAGGTGAGAAGTGCCAGATTTCTTTTTTTATCCAGGAGAACTCTAAAACAGCAGAAGGTGTTTTAAAATGTAACAAGAAATCAGCCAGATATCAGTGAACATTCAATCAGACAATTTTGCTATGATTCTTACATGTCTGACAAAACAAACAATATATGACTGTCTGCTGTCCAGTATAGATTTCCTCCCTGGCTGCCATCTTTGCTTTGAAGATGTTGGAGGAAGATCAATTAGAAGCGGAAGAAAACGTCAGGTAGATGCATCAAAGACATTACTTACTTACTTACCTCTAGTAAGTGATAATGTTTGAACATGAATTTGACACCACAGAGCAATGCTGTGATCAAACTGACATCTGAACTGATGACATTAAAAAAAGAAGTCATGCTAATTTATTTGATTGATTATTTGATGGCGCGGCCACGTCCAGACGCCTTCCTGACCGCTCCGCTCCGACTATCTACTTTTCTTGTTTTTTACCTATTTTTTGCTCTGGTTTACATCCCAAAATCCTCTAGTCTTATAGTTTACGACAGCGGATCACTTGTAAACATCGGTGCCAAGGTGGCACATCTAATCTTGGACACTTTTAAACCCGACCCTTCCTGGCCGCCAGAGATTCTACGCGGCGCGGAGAACAACAAAGGACGGGCCGCTCATCCGAGGCGCAGAACAAAGAAGCGCCGGGGAAAACGCGCTGGTATTAGGAACAGACTGAGACAGCAGGTGCATCGCGCACCACTGCCCAGTATCCTACTGGCCAATTTACAATCCATGGAGAACAAGCTCAATGACCTAAGAGCAAGGGTCACCTTCCAACGTGACATGAGGGACTGCAACATTCTGTGCTTCACGGAGACATGGCTGACCCCCACCGTGCCGGACCAGGCCGTAACTCCGTCAGATTCATTCTTTGTGCTCCGCGCGGACAGAACGGCAGAGTCTAACAAAACCAAAGGTGGAGAAGTGTGTTTCATGGTAAACAGAAAGTGGTGTGATGCCAGGAGCATTTCTACTCTCTCCAGCGGCTGCTCGCTGCATCTGGAGTTCCTGAGCATTAAGTGCCGCCCTTTCTATCTGCCCCGTGAGTTCACCTCGGTCATCGCCACGGCGGTCTACATCCCACCCCAAGCGGACACAGGTCCGCTTTGTCCGAATTACATGATGTGCTGAGCTCGCTTCAAAACAAGGACCCGGGCGCAGCCCTCATTGTAGCAGGAGACTTTAACAAAGCGAACCTCAGACAAGTCATGCCAAACTTTTGCCCATTATCATCAATGGAGTTCCAGTGGAGAGGGTGCAGTCCTTCAAGTATCTTGGTGTTCACATCTCCTCAGACCTGACATGGGCTGCCCACATTCAGGTCCAGACCAAAAAGGCTAGGCAGCGCGTAGGTATCACCTACGACAACTGAGGAAGTTCAGGGTCTCTCCAAAGATCCTCAGGATTTTCTATACAGGCGCTGTGGAGAGCATCCTCACACAGAACATGACATCGTGGTTTGGGAACAGCTGTGTGAAGGACCAAAAAGCTCTCCAGAGAGTGATCCGTACAGCAGAACGCTGCTGCAGGATTGCTCTCCCCCCGCTTCAGGACACCTACACCAGGAGATGCCGGACTAGAGCAGCGCAGATACTGAAGGACCCGTCCCATCCTGGCAACAAACTGTTCCAACTTCTGCAATCTGGTAGAAGGTTCCGCATCTTCCGGGCAAGGACAGAGAGACTCAAGAGGAGCTTCTATCCCCAAGCCATCCGTGCCCTAAACACACACACCCGCCCTCTCACATCATCTATAATTGACTGAGACAGGACTCTTCCAGACACTAAACCAAGGCACAATGTACATTTCAATTCCTTTAATTTTAAATATGTTTATATTGTCTATCCTGTAAAATAGTCAGATGTCTATTCATATTAATATACAGAATTCACCTGCTTGCTGCTACTACTGCACATTCACCCAGTGTATATACTATATGTCTGTATATATATATATATATATAATATATATATATATATATATATATATATATATATATAATATATTATATATATTATATTATATATATATTATATATACTACTGCACATTCACACAATGTATATATATATATATATATATATATAATATGTTCTTCCTCTACACCCCCCCCAATTTTTGCACATGTCGAGGAGCGTGTCAGGCTACATTTCACTGTGTGTTATACTTGTATAACTATGCATGTGACAAATAAAGAACCTTGAACCTTGAACCTTGAGACCATTGAACTGAGTCCATGGGCTGAACATTAAACTTCCAGAGATTTCAGAGCAGTCAATAATATCACTGTACAGATCTACAGATGTATCTACTAAGATCCCAAACACACTGATCTATTTGTAGCAAATTATTGAATAATATAATATTTATTCAGGATTCAGTTTTTTTCTACCTATTTTTATATTTATATTTATGATTAAGGGTCACTGCTGGCAGTGTAAGATTTTAATCAAACTGTATCAGAGGGAAAGTGCATTTTTTTGGACACTCGGGCTGCGGACAGCTGACAACAACAACAGCAATACGTCACGATGAACGGATCAAAAACAGATCCAAGGTAGATGAGCTGGTACATGAACAGATCCGTATCAGATCTGGGCCGTTTGAGCTGGGCCCATGACGAATCAGGTCCAGCTACGGCAAAGACGAGCCAGGACGACAGGTCAGGAGGGAGACATCGTCACCCCCACTCAAGATTGGGTACCAAGCCCAAAGTATGATGGAAGAAGGAGCGTTAAGTGTGAAAGGAACTGACCTGAAAGACAGAATCATGGCAAAGATGAAAATCTGGACACTCTGTAGCCGGTTACCAAGAATATGTGAAGTACCCCCTGAAGGTCTACTAGAAGATGTGAATGCAGCACTATGGGCAATCCCATAAACCAGCTGTATTCCACGGAACCATTCAAGTTGTACTCTGAGTGGCAGGGGAACAATATGAGAACAGCCCCACCGAGGCTGGAGACGGAGCAATACTGGAAGAACATGTGGGAGAAGGATGCAACTCATAACAACAATGCTCAGTGGCTTGTGGATCTAAGAGCAGACCACAGCAACCTCCCTAAACAGGATCCAATAACCATCACAGTGGCAGACATCCAAGAAAGGGTCTCCAGTATGAACAGTTGGACAGCACCAGACCCTGGCATGATTCATGCCTACTGGCTGAAGGTGCTGACTGCACTCCACGAGAGTCTGGCAACACAACTGAACCAGCTGCAATTCAATAAAGGACGCCTAGAATGGCTACCTGAAGGGCAGACAATCCTGATCCCCAAGGACGCTTGCCTATTCCTACCTGGGAACAGTCTCCCAGGTCTAAAATGTACATAAGAAATATACAATATGTATATAGTTATAATTATAGAAGTTATAGTATATTATATATAAACATACCTCACAGCACAAGCATACTCACAACCTTTTATAAGATCGTATTATACATTGTTATATAGATATAGATATATATAGTGTTTGTTTTTTATTAATAAAAAACATCAAGAAGTCACAAGCAAAAAGAACACACCATGGCATATGTTTAAACATAGAAAGGTTTATTCATCAAAATGATTTATTATTAAAATAGACATAACATAATTTTTCGTTTATTGTGGGAGTTACGTTCTAAAAATAACACGCGATAGATGAAATCTGCCAAGTTGCCAACTTTATTTTTTACAGTTATTATAGATGTTTAAGGCTGTAAAACCCCTCACTACAGACTTTATACACTTTCCTCAGACAGGCATTAACATTTTCACACATTTCTCTCTTGTTCAAACACTCTCAAAGTTCAAACCTTCGTAGAAAAATAAGTCCAGTATTATAGAATGAAACCAAAGATCAAACCCTGTTTTCAGGTCCAGAACATGGGAATAAAGCAGCTGCGAGCGAATTCATTCAACATTAATGAATCAATGGTAGGGAAGTAGAGGAAGCAATAAGAATGAGTTGAGTAAAGTTTGACTTATCTGACTGTTTTGTTACACCTCATGCGTCTTATAATCCCGTGCACCTTATGGTCCAAAAAATATGGTAACTTCCACCTTCCTTTAGCATGTCCAGAAGTCCAAGTTTTTGTGCGATGGTTAGCATCTTCCTCTGCCTTTTGGGTGCTACCACAGGAGCCTTTGATGGTGCAAAACGTTTCGTTGACATTGTTGTGTTTGTTGAGGAGAAAACTTACAAACATACAGTGCAGCACTTCAGAGTCACACTGCTAGCGATCTAAGATTTATGTAAATTTAACAAGCTGAACGCATTCTGTACTGTACAGGAGACACAGAGGAGATTGATTGACAATGGTCTACAGCCAATCAGGATGCAGAACACAATTTTAAAAAACAATTGCAGAAAAAAAACAAGCAAAACAGCGAGGGTGTGAAAGGTGAACCGCAAGGGACCACTGTATTACACATTACTCATTTCTTTTTTTAAAAGTAATGCAATATGTTACATATTTTTTCGTTTGAGCGCACAACTCAGTATAGACTACATTAGGTTGATTCTGTTCATCTGGACGTAGTGTTTTCAGTGGGAGAAACATTTTGTCACTCATCGAAGTGACTTCTTCAGTCTGGAGACAGAAGACTGAAGCCACTTGGATGAGTGACGAAACACTTCTCCCACCTATGAACATAAAACCAACAACAAAATCAAAGCATATAATAAACAATATAGCTGAGTAGAAAATCAAAATATAAGTACCACTATAGGGTTCCTTCATAATCAGGATTAGTATAGATGTTTAGCTGTTAGCATCTCACATTTCGGTGCTACCAGGAGTCATGGAGTGCTGTTAGGTTTGTCAGGCAGAATACCTGGATCATGTCAGCTCCCGGTAAGACTAAGACTTAGGCCCTAAGACTGATTGTGGTTTGTAATATTGATTGATATTGGAGATTGCTGTGGTCTCCAGCCTGGCTCCTTCATCCAGGTTTTCCATCGGGTGTCAGAGTGTGTGAACATTAGTTTAAAAGTGCTTATGGCATTGAAAAAGCCCTTATATGAATGGGTGAATGAGCCTTGTAGTAAGATAATTTTAGCATACTCTATTGTTTATCTATCTTTATCACTAGGGGCTTGTATTTCATTTTATGTACTGGTTATGACTGTCATAATCTGCGGGTGCAGACGGTGTGAGGGTGTTTGCAGGACCCAGGTCAGACACAGAAGAAGAGACAAAATTAACTTTAAACAAAAAAGCGAGCGTTT